TTAGATCATTTAGTCATTCCACAAGGCAAACAAACAAGGTGTGAACACTGTCATGAGTGCACGACTACTAGATGTAGAAAATGTGATTTCGGCCTTCACGTGAAATGTTTTGTTCAATATCATACTCTTTAAAATTTGCAATATTGATGTGTTTCAAAATATTTGTACTATTTTCAATATTTTTTTATTATTATTCTTATATCTACCTTTAATCCTAAAGAACTAACTGTTTATGTATTTTTTTTAGAATAAATTGAAAATACCTCCAAAGTGTCGTCTTTTAATAAGGTTTTTTAAAAAATAATAAAAAAACTTTTTTGCAACTCTTTAGGCATACATGGGTTAATGTTAATTTATTCTAGCATTCCAATTTTAATGTACTCTCAGAAGTTTAACATCAAACGCAAGGTGGAAAATGTTGGACATAATCCTACAATATGATCTGTTTGGTAAAAATTTGCCGTACATTCATCGCGACCCTCTTCAACATTCGCCAGCGTCCAATTAATAGGTTCTATTCTTGTCTCATTTTTATTTCCATGGATGCATCGTAAATTGGCTTGGCTTTAAATTTACGGCCAAAACGTCCAACTTAATTAGAGCAACTGCGTTATAGTGATGCGGCCAGTGGCGCATCTGGTCTCTCGCTAGGCGGCGCTTGTGTGGTTGTGGGTAATAGCTGTTAAACGCAAATGGGAAAAAGACATACTTGGTAGAAAGGTGATAAAAAGGACAGATAAAAAAGTAATGTTTTGACATCTATTGACGTGAATAGCCGATTAGCAATTGATATGAACTCGCGCTATCTGCTTTTACCCTACTCGCATTAGCAGTAAGTCGCAACTCTGGACGAACACGTTTCATGATGAAACGTGAAACTATAGTTGCTTGGCAGATAGATAAGATAACAACAACTTGAACATATCGTTTTCCTCAACCTCAGTTCAATGGTTAAGTGACAATTTAGTTCACTACCAAAAACATTTTCTTTATACTGCTAAGTTTTTCACAACTAATAAGAGAAAAAGTTATGGCAAAAATACCGAAAACGATGTTTGGAAGAATAGACATAATCGACTTCTCCTAATCACAATTGTTTGTACCTCCCACGCCAACTTGCAACGACATACTGTAATCGCAAAAAATTTCAAAAATGAGACATTATGATTTTTGGATATTACATGTTTGAGTACATCATGAAAACCACTAATTTCTGTCGGACTGTATGTCTGTTGGTCTTTCCACTAATCCTTGGTTCACCTATAAGTATTTCAAGGATTTTTATGAAACTTTGAGAAAGAGTTACTACTATGCCAATGACGGAAAAACTTTTTATTTTCTGGAAATTGATCTACGAGCGGTCTGCTCGTTTTTGAAAATTTATTTAGGGAGTAAGAAGTTGGGGGCGTGAAGTTGCAAGGGAAATTGGAGGGTGTGATGCGATTATTTGGTTAGTATATTTATACGCTTTTTACCCCGGTATTTATATGCACCTATTAAACATATCTCACACATACCCGCGTCGAGCGCAACGAAAATGTAAGTTAAACCTGTAGGGAGGTAGGCGCTGCCTCTGCGTTGACAGTTCACTCATCGTAGTATGGTATGTGCAATTATTCAAGTGACCTATTTAATTCATTGATGATTGATACATGTTCATAAATCATTTTTTTGTGGAGTGCAGGGCCAAGCTTCTTGGTACAATTTTTTTCATCTGTCTTAAAACGACGATGATTTTGAAAAACGATGGAAAAGATGTGTCTTTTCAAACCTTAGCCCCTATACTTTTTTAATGTCTGAATCACCGAAAGTTTAAAAGTACAAATACGATATTTGTGTTGACGATATTCTGAATCTTTTCGTCTTTTGTCCATAGTTGTTCTTAACATCACACAAATTTTTGAAAATTAAGCAGCGTTGCCGGTGCAGTCGTTTTGAGACTACAAGGGTAGAGCAACGCGGAACGACAGGCGGCTTCAAATGAGTCCTGGATTTTCGTTACACAGGCATCATACAAAGTCCAAAAATATAATATATTTCGCGGTGACAATTTCTCCCTTGCTTTTGCTTTCCACTTAAATTGAGAATCGAACTTGACCATACCTACTTGATAAAAAGCTTCTGTATTTCTAACTACCAAATATCCTGTATTAAAGAATCCGATACCATATTGCAGCACGTAACAGTTTGCTATATAATTTTTTTGCCGTCTCAAAATAAGATTTCCATCAATCAAATGAAATAGAAAATGACCACAACACAGATTAAATAACTTGGTCAGGACGCAAAGGAAATTAACTTTTGACTTTGATGTAAGACCCCAGTCCAATATCCCTTTGACGATTTATAAGGTCACTCATTTTAGGGGGTATTGTAAGAAATGTATGGACTGCAGACCGTAGCTGAAATATAAGCTGGCGAAGCATGTGTTGACTTTTAAGTAGTATAAGCAATACTTGCAGGTGAAGCTCATCTATCAAATATGCTTTGCTTCCATACAGAAGAAGGAATATGCATATTTCAAACTGTATTTTTAATATTATTGAATCTCACGTGAAACATTTTTAGTATGTTAATAATATTTGTATGATATATTTTTGTCAGTTCATTTGAGGTAAGATCACAAAAATTTCAAGCCGAGAATATTACCTTAGTGAAATTTGACATAGCATCTGCAACTTTTTGATACGTGTACTCAGAAACTCATAATGCAATCACGGCGTTATTTGAAGAATATTCATTAACTGTTTTTTTTGTAACATTCTTTTTCTAAATGGGACTATTGCTATTATTTTTGTACCACTGTGTTTCATGGTGAATACCGGTACAACGTGTTTGACTTTTCTTACTTCCCACGCAATTTGCAAGCATTGGCAAAAATCGGGTAAAGCATCAGCATTACGCAAAACCATGACACTCATTTCCGTCTGTCTGATAGTCCTTGTCACATTTATACAGTATGTCCCAGAGTAAAATGATAATCTCCTGGGAGCATTTACTCGTAGAACACAAAAAATTTTGCAACAAGTTTTAAAAAAATGTCGTAGGGGCCTTTCCTACGAAGATATTCAGACTCCTAAGGCGAATGTCACACCATCAGTATTTAGTGTTATCCCTCAGTATTTATCATGGAATGTGCAGCCAGGACGTCAGCAATTATTGAGGTATTGAGGTAGAAATCAGCTGACACTGGCGGGATTATCAGTAAATACTAATGGTACTTCAGTAAATACTAACGGACGCCAGTGATGGCAATAGGGTTTTCTTAAATAACTTTTGAACTTTACTCTATAATTCAACGACATTTTGAAAGCTTGGTAACCAATTGGGGCTTCACTTGATAGTGGCCACAGACAACATTCTACTCATTCATATAGCCAGAAGCGGACTAGCCCCGACGCATTTTTCAACCTGTACAACAATGTCAACGATGACATTTTTTGGAAAGCCCGAATTTTATGCTGAAAAAATGTATTGATGAGCATTGATACAATGCGTCGATTTTGAGAAAAATAGTTGTACAGCTATATTAATTCTACTACCTCATCCAGTATACCATACCGAGTGAATCATTTACGGTTGAGGTCGGCCGGGTTTCGATGTGTACGAGAAAGAAATGACAGAAGCATGTAACACTGAGTTAGAAAGAGCTCATAAGCAGTAATTGCCATGTTGCCTGGCATCGACAGCGATGAAAGTCACGGAGAAATCTTTCTAATACATGCACTCTCCTCTCGTTTACAAGATACAAGATATAAATTTTAGGAGTTGTCAAGTATACAATTTTTTCGAACTTGTTTGAGATCCGCTGTAGTGTAAATCTATGAGACTTCGTCGAAATCAAAGAAGAATACATTTTTTACCGCTAAAGGCGTAAGGCTTTCAAAAACTTTCATTTTTGAGCCATTATTATACAGGGTATAAAAAAAATAACATTTTATTAGATCTAGTACGTCCTTGGCGCTCTAGATGAGTTAGTTGTTTTCCATGGACATCATCATATGAGGAGGCAACTGGTTACTGACCTGTAAAGATTTTGCTCAATTTTGTAGTATCGTTATTTAGTTACTTGAAAAATGGCGGCCTTCAAGCGTCTGTATCTTCTTAGGAGAGCCTTGTAGCACATTTTTTTCAAATAAACTTTTGACATTATTGTGTTGTGCTGTATAGGCTCATAACTTATTGGCAGCTTATTACATAAACATACTACCATGTCAAGAACGAATACGCTTTGTCAGCTATGAAAATCGGTTCAGTGGCGGTAAAATTTTGAACAAGAACGAGAAGTCTCCATTTTTACTTCTTATACCAAAACTGGTGATGAATTATTTTAATCGCCAAAAACCTTCGGAATTGCGATATTATAATTTTTGGATGCTATATGACATGTACATCACAAAAAGCCTTGTCACTCGTTTTCGTCGGTCTGTCTGTCGGTCTGCCCGCTAATTTTATAACCGTCTATGAGAAGTACCGCTAAGAACCAAAGAAATAAGAATCGCTCAAACTCCTTTACTTGACGTTTTAGAGGGTTATGAGCATTTTCAGAAACATTTTTGCGGGAGATGAAATTTGGGGGTTGTAGGAGGTTGGAGGCAGGGTATATGATATGCACCTATTGGAGCCATATTTCACACATAGATTTACCCGTACATTTAGGTACCCTTAAAACTTGTGAAATGCTTTCTAAAGCCGGGTGCCTTTAAACCTTAGAATGATAAAGAAATGTTTTCGATCCGCGTACTCGTGCCTATAAAACGAACCGCCTGGCGATCCAATCCGGCTTATACAGTACCGAGCAAAAGTGGAGAAACATTTTATTTTTTTTAAGATTTTATTAAACTATTAAAGTAAACTAAATACATATGTTTTATTATAACTTAATGTAACATGTAATTCAAAGCCAATATGAAAACAAAATTTCTGCTTTAATAAAACTATGCTAACAATTATTATTAGAAAATACAGCGAGCAAAAATAGAGAAACATACAAAGCAATTGTCGTATACAAAGAAGCTAATACTTGGTTGCATAATCTTTATTTTTGATAACTGCTAGACATCATTTTCTCATAGAACCAATTTGGCTATCTATTGTTTCTTTTCGAATAGAATTCCGGGCGACTTCGATTGTTTCAAATAGTTCGGCACTATTCTTGAACTTTTCTGGATGTTCAGTCCGAATTTTTCTGTTAACTAAATGCCATAGGTTCTCTATGGGGTTAAGGTCTGGAATCTGAACTGGCCACTTAATGACATTAATATTGTGATCTGCAAAAAATGTTATTATTATTTTCGCTGTGTGCTTGAGATCGTTGTCGTGCTGGCGTAGAGGCATGTTTTCTTCTGCACAAGGTAGCATGGTATCACTTAATATTTCCAAGTATTTGTACCGGTCCATAATTCCTTCAATTTTGACGACGGGTCCCATTTGAAGAAGCAACTCCGTACTTCCCGCCTCCGTGTTTGATTGTGCCCAAAGTGAACTTAGGTTCAAATTGCTTGAAAATAAATAAAATTTACTTTCATCAGAAAATAGTACAGAATTCCACCTTGTTTCTGACCAGTTCAAATGATCGTAAGCAAATTGAAGACGGGCGGTCCGATATTTCTTGGAAATAAAGGGTTTTTTACATGGTCTTCTTGCTGGTAAATCACTCTCCCTTAAACGTTTTCGAACAGTGTGGACACCAATATTTACTTCATCAAGTTGAGCTTTTATGTCGAGAGCAGTAGTAAACGGATATTTAAGAGTAAGTGTTTTAATTTTCCTATTAATCTTAGGTGTGGTTTTTCGCGGTCTACCTGTCTTATTAGGGGTTACCAACCATTTTCTGAGGCGGAACAGCTTAGTACATTTGCAAATTACCGATTGGCTTAAATTCAGCTGTTTGGCTATGGTTGCTTGTTTAATGCCTGATCGATATTTTAAAATAATCACTTCTTTTATTTGCAAATTCAAGGTTTTTGAACTACATTTTACCAGATAGACTCAAAAATAAGAGCTATTCTAATCAACCACTAAATAGAAACTAAATATTTACAAAGTGTTTCTTTGCTTTTGCTCGTTGAACAAAAAACCGACCAAATTATACTGAAAAAAAAGAATGTATACAAGGATAAGCATTTTATCATCTTGAGACAGTGATACATGAAAAAAAATTTAGTGTACAGTTTTGGGTTAGAGTAAGTCTTTCTGGATTTTTATTTGAAATGTGGTTTATTTCTCTACTTTTGCTCGGTACTGTATATGTATTCGTACTGAAAACTAAAAAACAGAGGAGGTTAGTACTTCAGGGAATGAAAGTCTATGGACTAATTGCATGGGCCTGTTTGACTGACTTAATACGTTTAATTTCTCTGCTCTACATGTCCGTACGTCAATATTTTAAATTGCGCTGAACTTAATCCTTTGTGAACTGATCACGGCGAGTCAACCGACTTGACGCCATTTTTGATGTTTATGTGAAAATGCCATAACCATATTTTGATCAAACAGAATCAATCAATGCGATCACAGACATTGGACTGCCTATACCAGACTTTCCCGTTTGGAAGATAGACCGACAAGGTCCTCTCAAATAGTAATTTTATTTCGGGAGCAGTCATGGCTCGACCTTGCGGTCGCGTTTTAAATTGGACAGTTACTAATTATTGGGCGGTTTGGCAGCATTCTCGTATAAAAACTTTCGAACTCATTTTTAGCTCGTTAGCCAGATTTTGGCGACCGATTTGGAACGAATCATGATATTAATTCATATTTTCAACAGATTATTTTACGGACGGGGCAGATTCGCAGTTTCAAGGACAAATGTACAGGAAATATAAAAGACGTCACGTAACTTATTTCTCTATTTGCTTTTACTGAAGAAGTTGATCCACAATAGACCGCAGAGTCGCAGCGTAGGATCGTTATTGATGCACTCACGAGAAACCTAACCTAACCTACTGAAGAACTTAGAAGCGTCGCTATGTTTTGTAGAGTCATTCTAAAGGTTCGAGAAAATACTGTTTAACTATTTGTCCTATCTTGAGGCATACCATAGTCCCCCATACCTACTGGCCAAACGAAACAACATGCGCTCAAAAAATCTTGTTTATTCTAAGCGTTTCGATCACAAAGGTGACCTTTCTTCAAAACAGTGACTTTGACAATATATTTTATTCATCTATCTTCCAGGAAATACCTTATTTAATTTTCCTTTTCATTATTTATCCCTCTACAGGATTACCTCAATAGTGTGAAAGGTCCCGTAACATGCTGAGATTTCTATTATTCCAAATTTTAAGATGACACCACGCAAAACCAGTATAGCCCAGGATCACCTGGAGGTAGGTGTTCCCGCTCCCAAAAAGGACGCCTATCCCTCCAAAACGACAAGTGAGCATGAGGTCACCCTCGTCTATCGCCCCGAAGATGCCAAAAGCCCTCAAAAAAAAAAACGCGAAAGTCCACCAAAAACTGTGTGTGCCATAGCACATCGGTTAATTGTAATGCAATCTTAGACTAAAATGTTTCAAATGTCCTTTTTATGGATATGAAATGCCAAAAATAATACTTCGACATTTAAGGGGAGCTATGTTGTTCTTCCTGTGAGAAAATAGTATCAGATACAACAGTTTGGTCTTGAGATGGCGAAGTAAAACATCCGCGCGTTTGACATCCAACAACAAACCACCAGAGAAAACCTGGATAAACGGGTTACAAATATTACATGTCTTATTTATCAGGTAATCTTGATAGTATGGTAGGGTAGCCTTCCAAGAAGTGGTATGAGGTAGTGTAAAATAAAAAATCAGAACAATTAGAAATGTGGTATCATGATCGCATTTAGCATCATCTGTATTAGACTGAAACAAATGTAAAGTAAAACGTTTAGAACGTTTAGAATTTGTTCTTCAAAAATCACCCTGTATGATCCTCAATTTCAACTTGGATTATGCAGTTCTTGTTTTTTGTTGAGAACATCTTAATATAGGTACTATAAAACGAAAATTGTGCAGTTTTACAAAATATGTTTTTTAATTTCCTGATTGTCAATTGTTGTCTAGGAATCTTGACGACGATGGGGATGAGGATAACAATGTAACAGAATGCAGTATTGCATGCCTGAATCATTTTGGACGCCATGTGACTCGTTTTAGGAACTTCGGCTCGGTTGATATTTTTATTCTACGTTATACATTATACCACGTTTCTGGAAAGAGCCATCGACAGCTTTTAAGACATAAATGACGACTATTAATTTTTTTTCGACATATTTCGGATTTTCCATTACATTTCATGGATCATATCAGTTGGTCCGAATGGTCACCATTTTGTTTCCAAAGAATGTGCTGCTTGAAAAGCTTTGGGAAAAAGATGGTACTTCTTTAGTTTCCCAAGTGTTTTGTCCAAGTTTTCGGGTGATTTAAGGTTCTTTCGTTGCTTGTTTGTGGCCACTTTGCTGCCAATGCACCATCTTTAAAAATCCTAGCATAATCTCTTCCGTCCCTATACAGGGTGTAAACGTTATGATAGTCATTATTTAAATGGGTTATAGAGGGGGTTAAAAGAAGCAAAAAGCTTCATATAGCATGGGGGTCAAAGCGGCATTTTTTTTAGAGAACAGCGACTTTAAAGTAAAATAAAGTCTGACAACGCCGCAATGCCATACGCAAATTACGACGGAATGCAGTGTAAATAGAGATGGAGTTTGTTATTTTCTGGCTCTTAGGTATTATTTCATTATTTGATAATGTACTCGTAAAATGCAAACAATTAAAAAAAAACGGACTTACCACTAACTGTCTCAGCGCTTCACCTGGTGTGCGAAAGTTTATTGAACATATTAAAAAGCTCCACCTGTAAGTAGGGAATACCATGTTGATACATACATTGCAATTTTTTTGTATTTGAAGAAGGTGTTCAAAATGTCGTTCTTCACTTTCCACACAAGCTTCATTACGACGAACCCAGTTTCTTCTTACTCTAGGTCCTCGAAGTTGTTCATTTATTATTTCAGCCGCATTAAATTTTTTTTCGCGAAGTTGTGCTTCAGTTGTTATTGGACCAGCCCCATAAACCATCCCTTTAAGTTCTCCCCATTACCAGAAATCCATCGGATTGAGGTCAGGAGATCTTGCTGGCCATTTTCGAGGATCAGGAGCATTTCGACTGATACAGCGATTTGTATAATGTTCATTCAAATACTGAATGATGCTTCTAAAACTGTGTGGTGGTGCCCCGTCATGTAGAAACCACAAAGTCTGTCTCCGTTGCAATGCCATGCTGTCTAAGGTCTAGTCCAAAAGTTCTGGTAGGTTATTAGCTAGAAATCTAAGGTATCCCTCTCCTGACAACTTTGGGGGTAACTCGAAAGGGCCAATTACCTGAGCGTCAAGAATACCTGCCCAAATATTTATCTACGTTGTTGGAAATGACCTTCACAAATGGGCCCACGTGTGAGTATTATGGAAATTTAATATCCCTTCTCACGTAAAAGCACATTCGCCCGACACTAGAATGTTTTTAAAGAAATCCGGATTTTCAATGTTTTTGTGCAAAAACCACGGACATAATGTTAGTCTGCGAGGACAGTCTTCTGGTAACAAGGCCTGCGCTCGTTGTACATGGTAGGGATAAATCCAATTTTCCCGTAGAGTTATATAGACTATGGTATGCGATAGTCCTTCGCAGCGGCCTAATTCCCGAGTGCTGATATCTGCATTGATTCCCACGATATTTAAAATATGATCCTTCTGCTCTACAGTAACCTGTCTTTTATGAATGCGAATATTAGTGGGCTGAACACTTGCTGTATCTCAAAGTGTACTTGCACAAATGTCCTTCTGTTTGGGTGTACCTGTTGGCGAAATCTGTTGCGATAAATTTGAGCTGCAAGACTTGAATTCTGACAAACTTCACCGTAAACTAACAACATGTCCGCGAACTCTTGATTCGAGAACATTGTAAATAAAGACGACGACGTACGCGAACATAAACAAAACAACAGGCCCAATGCCTGACAACTAACCACTGTTACCGTTTGCGATCGATTGCGGGTTCGATAAGAATGATGAAAGGCCGACGCGCTGTTATCATGTGTGTTTTAAATATTTAATTTAATGACACTCACTTACTTACTGACCACAAGTTTGGGCTTAACTTAGAAAAACTTAGTGGCATTTATTTATTAATTATCCAATTTCAAAACGTTTTAGATTAGATTATAAAAATTAGTAAGATTGTGGTGATTGTGGTCGATATAACGTACTTAAAGTTGTAAACTATAAAGCCATTTAGACAAAAATCTATTGACTTTTGGACCATGGGTCATATAAACTTTTTGACTTGTTTTTACCCCCTGTATTACCCATTTCAATAATCATTACCATAACGTTTACACCCTGTATATGTACAGCATATCATACTCCGACTTTCATAAACAGTTAGTATATACTGAATTTACAG